CTTAAAGTTTGAAGGATTCCTGGTCAGTTTATTTTCTGTCTTCTTTCTCCTCCCTCTCCTCCTCTTCCTCTTCCAATAACTCATTAGTTATAGCTTTTGACCCTACTAGGATCAAAATTAAGGTCCCAGAAAGCTTTTCTTTCCCCCCAGTAATTTAGATTGGCTTGTGGCAAATGCATGGTGCTATCTTTTGCTTTTTCAAATGTGCCAGAAAAAACTTTCTTTAGCTGTGTAGGAAGGAATCAAATTATTGGTTGACAGTCCTGGCTCTGGCCTAAGAGAATAAAGACCCATTTTAATTGCTTTATTGAGGGGCTTGCCAGAGTTTTGTAGGGAAAGCAAAACATAAAATTAAGCAATTGAGTAGCATTGCAAGGACACAGCAGTGGTAGACAACCACGCCAGAATTCTTATTGTACTTTAAAAACTGAATACTGGCAGCAAAAATTCCTTTGAGTCATTTTTCTCTAAATTCAGATTCAGGAAGTACACTCTTAAAATAAGTTCATTTTTGGAGTTCCATCTTAACTATAGCTTCAGGCCAAAAGACAGACGTCTCCAAGTAGAATTGCCCTGCATTTCACATAGGACCACATTTTAGCAAAACCCATGTGTGTGTGTGTGTGTGTGTGTATGTTGATTGCTGCTGACAGAAACAAGGTTCAGTAATTAGGAGCAAGAACTACCAGGATTAGCTTTTAATTTTAAAAAGATTAAATATGGAACTTTAAAATAACTGTCATAAAAGCATTTTATTTCAAGCAAATTTTGTAGGCAAAATTTCTAGGCAACAATTAAGTTGTATTTTACATACTGACATAAAACATTCTTGTAAATAAAATAGGCTTTCCTCTCTTGAAAGCCAAAACATTAAAATTAAGAACCAAAACAACAAAAATATGAAATAAGTAATAAACACAAATTAGTGAATACATCATAGTGTTGAATATGATGTATTTACTTTAAATCAGATTTTAATGTATTCCAAATATTCAAAATGAAAAATGAAGAAGTCATTATTGATTTATAAATAGACTTGTTGCAGGTTTCATTTGAATTGCTATCTTTTGATTATTCTTAATGTACTATCAATTTTCAAAAGTCATTCAGAGAAACATGCCTTTTGAATTCATACTGTGTAAACCAGTTGCTTTTGAATGCACAGCACTGTGATCAGTGCTAAAGGAGTACAAAATAAAGCTAAAGATAGAGTTTCCTTCAGAAGCTTATAATTTCACTAAGAAGACAAAACAGACATTCAAGGATCCAGTTAACGAAGAGCACACGATAAAGAGTGTTTCTGCAGCTAGAAGGCCTGTGTACACTAAGGGTCATTGGGATTTAGAGGTCACACCTACCTCATGGTCCAGCTGGAGGGAAGCCACAGTTGGATTTTGAGCAATGTTGGATTAGAATGTGTGCAAGAGAATGGGGAGGATGGAGAGAGACTACGGGAAGGGACCAGTGAATGAAAACGTCAATGATGGTTACAACCATAATGAGTAGAGAAGAGCAGAGACTAGCTTTTCTTATGCTGAAGGCCCAGCTTGGAGAAAATGTCACGTGCAGGGTGCTATTGCTATTCCACAAAGGAGAGAAACCTGGGCAGACAGAAAAGGACCATGTGAGTAACCCTAAGAACAGAAAGGGGTGTGAAATTATATCTTAACATTTTAGAAATGGTCCTTTAGGACTCAGGAGAAGGAGGAAAGAGCAGATTTGGAAAAGAGAATCTGATTTTAGAACTAGAGTAAGAGAAGTTGTCCTAGAAATCCCTGCCTGTCTCCTCTACCTTTTTCTTGTTGTTATTTTCTGAGACAATTTCTTATTCTGTCACCCAGGCTAGTGTGTACTGGCAAAATTTTAGCTCACTGCAACCTCAACTTCTCAGGCTCAAGTTATCCTCCCACCTCAGCCTCCTGAGTGGCTGAGACTACAGGCATGCACCACCACTCTTGGGTAATTTTTAAATTTTTGGTAGTGATGAGGTCTTATTATATTGCCCATGCTGATCTCAAACTCCTGGGCTCCAGGGATCCTCCAACAGATGGCCTCCCGAAGTACTGAGATTACAGATGTGAGACACCATAGCTGTCCTCTACTTCTTAATGGTAGCCTCACCATAGCACATCAGCTAATTCATCTGTAAGACGATGTTAACCACTACCTAGTTCTTCTCTTCACTGGGGGAAGTTGAATTTAAATGAATATACCAAATCAGTGGGTTTTTTGTTCAATCTGTATTCAATGAGCAGTTGTGATATGCCAGTTATGTGTGACTTTGTCTATAACAGTGGATTTTGGGAAAATGAATAGGTCAGTAAGGAAGATATTCTCCAAAACTCTTAAAATTTAAAGGTTGCAGAAGGATGCTACTCCGGCTAATTTTAAGCTAGCCCTCCTGTGTTTGTATAGTTGTTTCTCTGTCTCTCTCTCTCACACATACACACTCATTTTCCTTTTTTTTAAATTATACTTTAAGTTCTGAGGTACATGTGCAGACTGTGTAGGATTGCTACATAGGTATACACGTGCCATGGTGGTTTGCTGCATCCATCATTTTCTTATTCTATTTTATAACAATTTTCCCCTTATGCTGACTTTTAAAACTTGTTATCTTAAAAAATCTTATTGTGTGTGCTCCTGTAAGCAGCTACCTCAAACACTTTTTGAGCAAGGCTGAAAATAAATAAAGCCAAAGTAAAAAAAACAAAAAACAAAAACAAAAAAAACACTCCAACTCTTGCCAACCTGATGAATCAAACGTTTTTTGGTCGTATTTTCTTTAACCTTTATCTCTATGAATACATAATTTACACATATTTATAGTCAGGGAGTTTGGGTAAAAGAACAAAAAATGATTTATCCTCTTTCAAAGAAAAGGGCTACAAAAGGATCAAAAAATACTTTGGAAGGCCCCAGGTCCAGGATCTTTGGTAGTGGACCCCTGAGTGGAGCGCAGCATCTGCCAGGCAGCTTGAGAACACACCTGTATTTAACCAAGGTGGGTTATGTGATAAGTGGGAGGAGGCCTGGCCACATGCTGTCTGACTCATCCTCTCAAGCACACGTGTCAGTTTTTCCTGCAGTTGGGACAACCTCCTTCAGAAGACAGAGCCTGACTATAACTTTCCTGGGATGCAAGGCTCAACTTCTTCAGACAAAAGTATAGAAACTAAGAAGCCCTGGGAGCCGGTGAGCCTTCAGTGAGCCACACTGGTGATAAAATCATGATTACTTGCTTTGGACACCCCCACCCCGCCACGCACATGCTTTTCTCTGGTTTGGAACTGGAGTTTGCTTCTGTGCAGTGTCTGATTTCTCCCCAGACTCCCTAGCAGCCTGCCGGGTCAATAAGGGCATGTTAAAATGAAGCTGCTTTGACAGTTACTTTGTTTCCTTGCATTTTGTGTTCAAGGCTGGCATGCATAATCCCATGATACACAGGACTTTAGATTAGAGCTGGCCAACATAATTTTTAGGATCCTTTTTGAGGGGAGATTGGCAAGAGATGGAAGAGAGCACAGAATAGTTTTCAGCATGATTTTTAATCATTTCTCTACAAGGACTAGCTCTGTGACCACAGGCATTCTAGCTTCCCAGGGCCTCAGTTTCCTCATCTTTGAGTATGTCTGAGTTCTTCTCAAGGCTGTGATTATCACCACGGTGAGGAATGTGAATGGCACAGTGCTCGATCTAAGTAGTTCATGGCCGATAGCCATTTACTGATAGCTACAAGGTAGGGAACAACCTGGTTGTAGCCAACATCATAATGAAGAGACTCTTCTTACTAATATGGATAAAGCTTCCCTTGCACCTGCCTTCCTCCTAGTAACACTGACTAAAATGTAATGCTGACTGCCTAGATCACAAAGAAGAATTTTCTGCAGAAGCCAAACAGGGCCATTGTTTGCATGCCACATGTGCTAAGTCTCAATGTTGATATTCCCCCATCCAACTTCCTGGCAAATATTGTTCGACTCAGGGAACTGAGTTAACAGATATTCAACATACGGCTATAGAGTACCTTCACTTATCAGTGGGCCAAGAAAAAAAATGCCAGGAACCCAATTATATTTGAATCAGATTAAACATCTACGCTTTGATCCACCTCTGATGATAGAGTTATAGGAATTTAATTCTTGGAAGGACTGGTTCCTGAAGGCCCACTGGGCAGCTTTAGAACTGCATTACCTTGTGAAAGTGTTGTAACTTCTGAGCGCCCTCACCAGTGTGTTAATTTGAACCATAATTCCTGCCTCCTCCTTTCCAGGACTCATATGCAGTTCATCTGTATGTATGCAGGCTCTTGGTAAATAGTAAAACTCTTCAAACATAAATGTAAGTGATTATTATTATGCTTTTTATAACTCCTGTAGGTGTTTGCTGGTCATGGACTGATTGACTTTTTCCAATATTATTATTCCTATGTAACTGATCTCTTGAAATGTCTACCATTTCCACCTATAAAGGACTTTAAATTTTAGGGGGTAAAGTCACTTCTCTTGCTATTCTGGTTATCATTACTCATGATTAGGCAGAATTCTGGCTAAGATACGATTCCAGGGAGATCTAAGAAGAGTCCTTCTGTGTGCTTCCTTCCCAAATATATTCCTGACAGACTTGCTAATAATGAAAAGTTCCAAAATTGAGAATTCACTTCATTGTCACTATTCTAATGGAATTACACTTTAAGCTCTACCATTCATATATACATTATTATGAACTGAGTTCATCTAATCATTTTAATAGGTTTTCAGCAGAGGGAAGGAAATTGAACATGAGCTAATGGTGGGGACCAAAGTCTCAGAGAACGAGAAGTCTGATTTGAGAATTTTTCTCTGTGTAGCTGGTGAAATGTTTGAATGATATCCAATGGTTAATGTTTCCTTAATTCTCAAGGTGACCAAAAATCATGCAAAATTATCTAGCAATAAATCCTCTCTGCATAAGATCCAAAGGACTTGGGGTTGAGGAAAGAGAAGAGAAATAGGTCTTACCCAGCAGGTCTTGTGTCTTCAATGGCTCTATCCACTGGGATCAAATCGCTAAGGTAGACATTGAAGTTTCCTTCTTTCCATCTTCTTTCTGCCTCCTTCTCCTTTCCATGGGGGACAACTACAGGGCGCCCAAACTGCCCTGGAGCTTTTGGGTCCCTTGGAGAAAGTGTCACATCAATTCTTAACACCTGGTGCATCCCATGGTCTTCAGGTAAAAGGGCTTTTATATAAGTCTGGTTGTATTCTCTAGGGGGGTCCTTGGCAGTTATGTTGATTTTTTCTGGCTCTAGCCCCCCAGCTAAAGCATGGTCAGTTTGGGACAGTGGTAGTCTATGTGGAGCAAGTGAAGAGAAAGACATCTCACTTCTATTCCTGGAAATGTGTTTACCTTGGCTTTTACCCAGTACGTTAGGAAATATAATTTTGGTTTTAGAATTGGAGACCTCTTTGGGGTCTGTCTTTTGCTCTTCCTCTTTGGTTATAATCACAATGTGGCTTTCAGAGAAATTGAGTTTCTTTCCATGAGCCCCTCCAGCTCTGTCATTCTTTGACAAGCTTCCCAAAGGTGTCTCATTAATAGATTGCTTCCTTAAGCGATTTGAATTGACAATGAACTTAGAAAAAGGAAGACTCTTATTGACTTTGTGTTTACTTGCATTTACTTCTTTGCTCTGAGTCTCAGTTTTGTTTAAGGCTATGGCTTCCCCAGACTTCGGCACTGGTGTGCTGGCAGGGTGTGTCCTCTCTTTTGCTACTGCCTGTGATCGCTGTTTTGGTCTGTCAGTACTAAGATGGATGGTCACATTCAAGTCCCTTTCAGCTGCTAGTTTTGATATGCCACTGCTAGGGCTATGACTCTTCAGGGCCTCCTGTTTTAAACTGAGGGGTCCCATGTGTACTGATGTTGTAACTAATGGAGTTCCTTTTGCTGCTATGAGTGAGGTTTTTGGAGCCCCCTGAGCTGCTGTTTGCTTTGGTGTCCCCTGGTGAGAGGAGGCTTCAGGTTTGATTCCTCTCCCTTCTTTCTTCTGCTTGTTAGGAGTCATGGGGAGGGTCTGCAGATGTGCAGGATGCCACAATGGCACAACCTTGCCCCTTCCCAGGGCATTCTGCATTTTTCTCTCCCTCTGGGTTTGGTCCAGGTCAACCTCAACCCTGAGTACACTCGCCTCAGTTTTTCTAAAGTTCTCCTTGCCCCATGCCCCTTTTCCATGTCCCCTTAGGGCAGGTTTCATCTCTTTGATGCTGCTGTAAAAAATTTTCACTTGGTCTGGCTGAACTCTGAATCCTAACTGCTCCCTCCTCACGATGTCTTCCTTGATGACCCGAGTGTTGATCTCGCTGAATGAGAGGCGGAGAGCTGCCATGTCAAAGAGCAGCCAGATGACAGAAGCTATGAAGATAAATGCCAAGACTCGCCCACTTCCTCGGAAAAACTTTCGGATCCTGTTCATGGTACAAAGGTTTCGCTTGGAGCCTGCCCTCCCTTAGCCTGCTTACCTTGAGTGGAGAGGGAGCTGAAGAAGTAGTAGCAGCAGCAGCAGCAGCAGCAGCAGAGTTGCCAGAAAGTGACCCCCTCCCCTGAACACAGCAGGAAGCAGCCGTCCAAGGGGAAAGCTCAGCTCCTACTGCTTGTCAGTCTCTGCCTGCGTGGCATTTCACAGCAGAGCATCTGTGCCTGCTTGGCTGGCCCTGGCTAAGTTCTGGTAAACACTGGCCTTAGGTCACTCCAGGAGCAGTTGATTCCAGCCACGAAGCAGTTCAACATATCACTTGTCTGGTCCCCAGGAGCCCATGTCCACCTTCCTACAAGCCCAAGAAAAGGTGGGGGCCAGATTGAGGCTGCTGTTTCTCTCCTCCCCGTTCTCCGTCTGCACGCTGTAACTCAACACCACTTCTCATAAGGAAAACATTTCAAGCCATTACCCAGAAAACTTTATTCAGCTCTCACCTTCCGTGTTATGTGAGAGTGTGTGTGTTTTAAGGGTAATTAAAAAGGAAAAAAAGCTATCTAACTTGGAGGGCATGTGTTCCTGGTTTGTAACCCCACCTACCCTACTCCTGCTCATTAACCCTGTTGTACCCAGGTGCCAATGCTCTGCCTGAGGAATTTATCACTGAAGTTAACGTTTCAGCTTTAAGGCATAACAGTTTAAAGAAGGGGCTCGGTATATCCTGCTCACTTCCAGAGATGTATATGTTTAGTTACTTAGAGCCTTCCTTCAGGAGGTTTCAGTGTATTTCTTTGTAAGCCAACTACTTTTTTTTTTTTTGTGAATCCATCTGTTTTTATTATTATATTCAATAAACATAAACTTAATTTGTCATATTGCTACAAAAAGCTTCTAAGCACTTTGTTATCGTCTGAATGTTTATGTCCACCCAAAATTCATATGTTGAAACCTAATCATGAATGTGATAGTATTAGGAGATAGGGCTTTTGAAGGTGATTTGATTATAAGGATAGAGCCCTCATGAATGAGATCCACACTATTAGAGACCCCACTGCCTTGCCACTCCACAAAGTGATGGTATAATGAGAAGGTGCCATCTATGAACCAGGAAATGGGCTTTCACCAGATTACGAATCTGCTGGTGCCTTGATTTCTGATTTCCCAGTCTCCGGAACTGTGAGAAACAAATTTCTTTTGCTTATCAGTCACTTAGCCTATGGTATTTTTCTACAATAGCATGAACAGAGTAAGACACACTCTCAGTTTCAGTACTTATCTCGTCACGAACCAGCAAGAAACAGTTTGAGGACCACACCAGGACTTGGACCAGATTTTGAGTGACACTGGTTGACTGGTAGGGTAGTGGCTTCCCCACAGGCTTTTCATTAGAACCACTTGAAACAAGATCCCCAAAACTCTGATCTATTGATGAGAAAGGAGGTGGAGATGACAGTGTATTAAAAATATAAATATTTTTAACAAAGCTTCCCAGGTCTTTCAAATGTGCAGTTAAAGTTGAGAAACACTGGTCTAGAAAAAAAGGTCTCAATGTTGTTATTATTATTTGGTTTTTGTAACACTGCCCATGGGACATTTAATTTTAGGTGTCTACTTGACTGGGCTAAGGAACACCCAGAGCACTGGTAAAGAATTATTTGTGGGTATGTCTGTGAGGGTGTTTACAGAAGAGACTGGCATTTGACTTAGTGCAGTGAGTGGGGAAGAGATGTCCTCACCCAATGTGGGTAGACATCGCTATTTGGTTGAGGGCCCAGATAGAATAAAAAGGCAGAGGGAAGGTGGATTCTCTCTCTCTTAGTGAGCTGGGACATCTTTCATCTGCCTTTGGATAAGAAATTTAGGTTCTCTGGCATTGGACTCTAGGGCTTGTACCAGTCTGCCCCCCAAACCCCCACATTTCTCCCTAGGTTCTCAGGCCTTTGGCCTTAGATTGAGACTGATGCTATTGGCTTCCCTGGTTCTCAGGCCTTTGGACTCGGAATGTGCCATGTTACTGGCTTTCCTGGTTCTCCAGCTTGCAGGTGGCCTAGCCTGAGGTTTCTCAGCCTCTATAACCACATGAGTCAATTCCTCTAATAAACTGCCTCTCATTTATCTATCTCTATGAATCCTATTGGTTCTGTTTCTCTGAAAAATCCTGGCTAATACAGTCTACAACTTGTGTGGCGTTCCCTCCCTGACAAATAAAGTGCAGTCTAATAAAAACTATGCATTCCCAGAACACCTAAATCAGAATATACATTTTGACACTGCCAGTTATAAAGATTGTCTATAGAGTTTAAGAAACACTGCTCAGGACAACTCTTCTCCTCTCTGAGGAACTCTGAGTGATTTGTAGACAACACTGCTATTCATTTCTCTAGTGTGGGGAGGGTCTAGCTTCCATGCTTTGAGGTAAACTTAGGTTCCTAATGGCTTGGGAGGGGATGGAGATATTCCAATTCTTGATACTTACCCATTACCTTTTACAGCATTTGGCCTTTGCATCACGGGAGGGAATGTAGATAAATGCAGCTATGGTAACATGTTTGCTGAGTCCCTGATTCTCCTCTCTGTTCAATGCCTGCTCACTTCAACTTGGAATATCCACATGGATGGCAGCATCTATGGTTCACTTATTTCCTGTGTGCATCCCTCTCTCAACTTATCCATCATTCTAATATCTATTGGGTACGTTCCACAAATCAGACCATGTGTTGGGTGTTGAGGGACGCTAAGTAAAAGGACATAGTTCTTGTGCTTGAGAACCTCACAGTTTATTGATTGACACAGACAAGTAGGCATATGTTATATATTCCAATATGTAATAAGTAATATGGGAGAAATAATATCCTGGATTCTGTGGGGACAGAGCTTAGTTTTAGGAGGCATAGATGATTTTTGGATAAGCTATTCTTAGACTTGAAAAATGAATAAGAAAATAATTACCTTTGCCCATATTGTAGTCTGAGAAAATCAGTATTAGTTAGATGGTGAAAGGCAGATAAATTAGCAAAAGCATAGAAATGAAGAGACAGCATAGTACCTCAGGAGAGTCCCAAGTTTTTGAGAACTAGCATGACTGGAAACACAGGCTTTAGTGTTTTTCTGCATACATGTATATTTGTGTGTGTGTGTGTGTGTGTATATATATATGTGTGTGTGTATATACATGTGTGTATATGTGTGTGTGTGTATATGTGTGTGTATATATGTGTGTGTGTATATATATATGTGTGTGTGTATATATGTATGTATGTGTGTGTGTATGTGTACATATATATATATATGTCTCAAGCAGTTTGCTAAGTTCTTTCCATTGACTATATCACTCAATCCTCACAAGAATCTAATGGGAAGGAGAAAATTACAATTTGTAGTCAGCAAATGAAACCCTAGAGAGGTAAAGCAACAGTAGAGATTGGAGGAGTTGGGTCTCGAATACACGACTGTATGATACTGTAGTCCCTGTGCTTAAATAGCACACAGTACTGCTTCTCTAACTGTATGACCTTGCAGGCTAGATAATTTTCTGTGGCTACTGAGCAATTAAAAAAGCCCTGTGCTTTGCAGGTTAATGTGAGAATATTTAAAAATGGCTTAAGTTATTGTTATGTTGAAGTTACTCTGTAAATATTGGCCACTACCATTCATATTGTTGCTAATACTTTGCTGTAATAGGAGTGTCAGGTGCATGTCAGTGGCAGTATACCAGCTCTTCCCAAAAAACAAGTAGAAAACTATTGACTAACGTGATGCTGGCAATGGGGAAGAAATATATCTGATTATTTTGTTTTATTCTTGCTATTCTTATTTCCTTTAATTGTAGATTTAACCAATGACAGTTGTTCACTGAGAACTCACTACATGCCCAAAACATGAAGTAGGTGACGTTGTCTTTGCCCCAACAACCTTAAAAGTCCCCTCACTAGAACACCATGAGCAAAAAACAGCACACATATTTAGCATCCACCTTCCAAAATAAAGTGAGAATTTTTTTAGTATCATGGAAAAATGGTTTGCATTACAATATTGTTTTAAACATGAAAATAGAATGCTTTAAAATTATTTTACTTGCATGATTCAATCTTGTCCAGCCACCATCCCACCCCAAATGGCAGTTGGAATTACTCAAATGTCTTTTAGGAAAGTCAACACTTGTTATATTCTATGCTTAACAGTTTAAAACACTGCTTGAAATATATTCTCGTTTCCATATAAGTTTTGTCAGAGAGTTCTGATTTCTTTTTATCCCTCCTGGGGATTTCTTTTTTATCCCTCTTGTGAATCAAAACACAAATTACTTGCAACAGGTGAGCAACATGTCAAGAAAATTAAAAGGCAATCTTGGCTTACATATCATTGGTAAAGCAACATGTTAATCTGGCTTAGTCTTCAATCTATCTGACATACAATTCAGAATGAGATATGAAGAATAGGTAACAGAGTAGGGAAACATTGGTTAAATATCCTAGAAATGGAGGAGTAGATTGAGTTGTCAGACCTGATCTGAAATACTGACTTGGCCATTAATAGCATATGATCATGTATGTGTCATGCATCACAAAGCTCGTGTAAGGTTCTCTTCCCAGCCTCTTTCTGGTCTTTTCCCTTGTGAGTTTATGATAATCTGTGATGATGGTAGAAGTTTGTTATAAGCCGTACCACTGACTCAACACTATGGGTCTTCAGGGACTCAGTAACAATTTCTGTGGCTCCTATAGCTGTACATTGCTCTCCTTTTTCTTCTCTTTTCTGACACACATGCTGTTTCACATCTCAGATCAATGAATTGTATAGGTTAAAAGGAATAGAAAAAAAAGGATACTAGGAAATTCTACCTTTTCATTAACACGCATATTGTCCCTTATATATTGGTAAATGATGGTGCTTCTAAAATTTTAATTGGATTAATTTTTATGTTACCAGCAGGAAACTAAATATGTAAGTGGGTTGTTTATTTGAGGTACCCTATAGTTAGGGAGCCTGGCTTGTCATCCCAAGTGGTAGAATGCGAGTAGCTTTGGCTGGTCAAATTTCTCAAGGATCTGCATATACTTAGTTGGAGATGATATCTGTTTGAAAATCTAGAGTTATGAATTAGCCTTGGGAGACATTTGGAGACATTTGGTTTATTCCAATTATCAGTCTGACTCCAGCTTGCAGTAAAAATCTAAAAACAGACTTTAGTTTCTTCTGTAAAATGGTTACAATAGTAGGAGGACTTGCCCTCTATTCTGTTTTGTTGTTGTGAGGATACTCATATTAAGAGCAACCATTCATTGGGAATTTACTGAGGGCCTGCCAGTAGTCACTTGACATTATCTCATTTAATCCTCAACGTTTGATTTTCACAGACTAGATCATAAACTGTCCAGCAAAACAGATCTTCATAAAGTTAAAGTGAAAAGTATATCTATGTTATATTCTCATGGCAGATGTCTTTGAATCATCGTTAATCAAGCAGGAGCTCAGTAAACACTGTTTTATATCTAGCCTTAAATCTCCCTGATGAGAATACAAAATCTTAGAAATAC